ACTCTTTCTCCCTCGACCAAGTTTATCACAGTTGAATTGCAGACATTGCACTATTTTCATCACTTTACCCCGCCTCGCCTCTCTGTCTTCTCCTATATCCCTGACTAACACACTCATGTTTGTGGTGGCAGACAAACACCAACATCAGGTCCCTGGGCAGATGTGCTTCCCAGTGTTCCGCACAGAAAACGGATTGTTCAAATGCTGAATAATTACCATGATAATCATCTCCATCCCACCAGGGTCTGAAAATGCATACCTGACATCTGACATTTGGTACCCATGGCTCCTCTCTCAATCTGCATAATCACATTCCTACCTAATTTCCATGCATTTGTTTTGGGGAAAAAAAACAGAAGTTGAATTTTTTTGCATTGTGGTGTGGGCACAGAAGGAATAAGATAGCACAATACAGTGTATGCACATTAGAGCTGTAACGATTAGATGATTATCAGCAACTATTTTGATAACTGATTGATCGTTTCAGTTATTTCTTTAAGCAAAAATAATGCCAAATATTCTCTTGTTCCAGCTTCTCAAAGGAGAAACTATGCAGATTCCATTGTTTTCTATGCAAACTGAATATCTTTTTTCAACATTTCATAGACTAATAATGAATTGAAAAAATAATCAGCAGATTAATCAATAATGAAAATAATGGTCAGTTGCAGGAATAATACACATTACCTCAACCTACAGTGGTGATACTTCCATCATACTGTACTGTAAACAATAGGTAATAAAGATTGTGTTGAGCTCTCAAGGCATTGTACAATATTCTACTTGTCACTTTCGATGTACAAAGCCAGTAAGTATTACCCATGAAGGGGCATTTAGACTGTCAGTAATTGCTTCCTAGCAGTGGCTTTTCATAGCCTCGACTTGAATTGTACACGAAAACAAGTATTTTCATTTACAGATGTTCACGGACTAAGATCAGGTATAGCAATGAGCAGTTCCTCTATATGGGAGATTCTGAAAGAACAAACATTTTTCAATAATATGGATAATTTTCAGGCTATTATCACTGTAAGTTGTACAAATGCATTTATAGTTAAGTGCAGTCCACAAGTATTGGGACATGTTCATTGTTTTGGTGCTGAAATATAGGCTATGATATTAAAGAGCTTTTTGAGGGTATTCACATCCATTTTAGGGCAATAACACATGAGGATAGTAATTAAGTTGTTCTTCATAGAACATGCAACTTGACATATGGACTGAATTAAACATTTATTAATTAATTATTTTTAATATTTCTATTATTTTTGATTCAATTATAAAAGAAAGAAAGAAAGAAAGCAAGAAAGAAAGAAAGAAAGAAAGAAAGAAAGAAAGAAAGAAAGATTATGATTTAATTAGCAATTCATACTAACAACTAATGCTGGTGTTTCTTTTAAGCAAGTCAAAAAGCTCCACTTCAAAGAAGCATCCAGTGTGGAGGTTTTTATCAACATTATAATGAAAGGAATAGGGCCATGTCAGTAGCAACACTGTCTTGGGTGTTGTGCCTGTGCAGCAAGAGCAGTTTGTATTCAATGTTCAAGTAGGCACTGAAATATAATATCTAATAAAAACACATAAAAACCTATTTATAAGAGGATTTTATATCAATGTTTATCTCTGGGTTTCATAGTTTGAACATCTTTGCTGTCATGAAACAGCTTGCATGGGATCTGCTACACTGAGACAGCACAGTATATCAATAACCTCAGTAGTGCGTATGCTGCTGCAATGCACAGTAAGCTTTTTTTCACACATTTAAGACATTTATAAGACATTAGGAGATAACAAGTTGAAAATGGTGAGAAGTGATTAGGCAGAGCACTTGACAGATATGAGAGATGTAGTAACTCCCAGTTTAGCACTGATACAGGATGTCTCAGTCTGAAGGTAAAGCAAGCAAGGGCTCTCTCTCCCCCCTCTCCACTATCCTCACCACAACACATGGCCCACTCACATATTCACAGCTCTGCAGAGCAGCTTGGCTTCAGCGTGAGCTTCAATCCCTCTCACTCTGAATCATGCTGTGATGGGACAGCAGTCCAGCCTCTCATATTTCCTCAAAAGGACAGTCACTGATACAAAGCTTGACTGGCAGCCAGATCCATCTCTGTAGCTTTTTGTTGCCTCCACCTGAGAGAAAAGCCCTTAAACTGTGATGGCCACTCATTCCCCTGAAAGCGTATTGTGGGCTTTATGACAGAGTGGCTCAAGCGAAGTGTCACCCCACAGAGGATCATCTGATGTGGTCTAGCATGGGGTGCCTTGTGTTTCACACACTGCAGACCCAACAATGCAGGCCCTCCCATGTCTCTCCCTCCCTTTGTTTCTCATTATTGAGCTAAATGGAATTAAGAGCTTTTCTATTGGGATCCTTTTTTCTGCACTCGCCCTTTTGAACAACCTGAGGGGGATTTTAACATGCTATTACCCTTTGACACAGTGCTGGTATTGGAAGTAGGAGAGTTGTGAGGTATTTAGCCAGGGCTCCAGACAGTGAAATAGAAGGCAGGAAAAGACCTGCACTCTCCGGCAAGAAGAGATGGAGAGGGCGCCTGGGGGCAGCAGGGGTGGAAGGCCCCAGCCTGGGCCCTGTCCACTGCAACCTGCCAGACACAGCCTGAATCCCATTTATTCCTGGTGACCTTAAATAAAATGCTGGCTACCCCTGTGGGCCCCATGTGAGGCCAAAACCAAATGGGCTGTGTTCTCCACTCTTTCTACCCCACTGCTAGAGAAAATGAGCTTTATCTGTGGGGGAACTCGGGGCCATGTGACTAAATGCCCCCTTCCCTGCATGAGTTTCCCCACAAACTCCATTCTGCTGTTAATCTGCAAAGCTGTAGCCTTTTAATTACTGGCTTTTGGTATTTGAGTGTCCCAATGTGGAAACCTTTTGATTCATTTTGCAAAGTTTCAGCTTATATATCATTAGGGCAGCTGGCAAGACATATTCACACATTCCTTATCATGAAAATATGCACAGACACACTGCATACACATGTTCCCCAAGGTGATATAGGGGCTGTCTGACAAATATATCAGCTGATTACTGCAAAGAAATTGATAAAAGAAATATGTAATCCTCTTTGATTAAGTTAGGTTGTCAAAGCACTGGGTGGTGACAAGTATTAGAGAGGTGAGAAATTGTTAGATGAAGCTCAGTGTGTGTCTTTCTGCATCTGTCAAGGACTCACAATGAATAATACAATGTATCACAAATTCAAATCAAGTGCTTTGATATTTGAAACCAGTTAAAACTGGTATCTGTTATGTTGTAGTTAATAAATCATTCATTTCAAGATAGAGCCAGTGGACTGGAAGCGTCGATTTCACACCACGTTTGTATTTTCATGCATTGAAATCAAGCATAAGCTCAGTTGTATCACACTTCGCTAGCTGCCACATTTGCCATGCTTTGCATTGGTTGATTCACATAAACAGCAGGCGTCCACAGCCTTCCACCAACAGCTGCACAACATTGCTTCTGACAGCTTGCCATTGACAACAATGTGAGGAAATGTACGTATTTCACCTTTAATCCCTTCATCTTATTTATTAGTGGCTTGGTCTATTTATTTCTTTAAATTACATATATCTTTACCTTATTTGTCTGGGATTTAAAAATATATTTAAAATTTCCAGTCCAAGCTAAGAAAGTTGCCTTTCCAACAAGAGCACCTCTTTGTCACATGAACCCACGCAGGGTACCAGTGGTTTTGAAGTGCCCACTACACGTCCATGCAGTGCCAAAGTCTGCATGAGCAACTCTAATTAAAGTGGAGTTAATCACAAATAGCTGGATAGGGCCACAATTGAGGCATATGTTAAGAATGAATTACTAATTAGAGCGGCAAGCAGTGAGACAAGTCCCAGACTGCTTGAGAAGTCTCGGCACGTTACTAATATATGAAAAGGTATAAACAAACAGCAATCTGGTTGTTTAGCTCCTCCATCCCACTTACAAGGATCCAATTATGGCAGATCCCTGGAGCCGCCAATACAATCAGGCAAGAGTGAGTCGGCGTTATGATTAACTGAGAAGGCCACATACTCTCTATGGCTGCTCCAGCCAGCCAGCAGGCCTCCTTTGACAGGGGCGGTTATGTGGCTCAGTGAGCCCCAGGGCTCCACTCCCAGTACAGGCCATCGGAGAGCCCAACACAACAGAACACAACAACAAAACACAGCCCAAGCCTCAGATACTGCATTCAGGCTGTGTTGTAATATGTACAAGCTAATTCACTGGATGGCTTGCTTTTATAAGGCGCCCCACAGGGTGTGGTATAACACACAATTAACACTGCAAATTCCTTGAACAATGCTTATGGCACTGATGTGTTGGGGGAATACACCTGTTCCTCTCTTAGTGCCTTTTGACGTAAAACCAGAATGGAGGCCCTTACAATTGACAATTGATGCAAAAAAAAGATGAAACTGAAACTAATCTTCCTTAGCAGCATTTTGTTCAATCAGCTGGTAGGTTTTGAGTTTAAACCTCCACCTGTGAACACCAAATGCACAAGTAGCTTCTAAGCAGAATAGCTGTTGAACAGAACATTTCTGTATCAAATCCTCTCCAGTGCAGCCTACATCCATACATCCAACTGTGCTTTTCACCACACTTTCAGCAGGAATATCAGTGTGCAGCCGAGAGGTAAGCTGGGCGATGGATGAAATGTGCTTTTTTGCCATTTATCATTCAGTGCTGGAGGTCGTGTACAGTTAGCCATCTGGATCCTGGGGAACTGTAAAACATTCTCCCTGATACCAGACTGTAAAGTGCAGTTGAGCCAGACACAGAAGAAAACGTCCCTGTGCACATACAGCTTTGTCCAAGAGGGAATGAATAAAATAAAGAGAATAAATAGTTTTTGTTGATGTTATATGTAACAGTTAACAGCCGTAAATACATCTCGTGGAATATGTTGATCATGTGACATTAGGTACATTTTGAGATTTTTTAAATGTTGCTGTTTTGCTTTTTCTCCCCACAGGCAGTATGTGGTACACTTTTGTAAACTCAAAGTAGAGAGAGGATCACTCGCATGATCCCAAGTCATCCGGCGCTAACAAGAAAGACACCTACAGACACACCACTGGAGGTGAACAGCATGATACAGTCAGTTCTGCACACACACAGATGCGCATACACACACTAACAGGGCACTCTGCAGGTGGCAAGCAGCGTGTTCCAGTCTTAAGTATAACCTGTGTGGTGCTGAGATACTCACAATGACACAGCCCACCTCCAATGTCTCTGAGCCAAGAAGGCCTAGTGGTTAAAAAAAATAAAGAAATAAAATAAAAAAGGCCTCCCACTCCACTTCAATTAGAGACACTGATTGGTACCAGTCCTTATTCCAGCAGGGGGGTACTCAACCTTCAGCTATAAGTCCAACTCTTTACTCCTTGAGCCAATCTGAATCTTCCTCCTGCCCTGCTACTTGTTTGTTCTCAGTTGTAATGTGGCTTATATGATCTATATATGAGTGTGCATTTGTGTGTGGTTTAAAGTACACTCTGTTAGTACAGCATCACTTGCAAGCCAAGTCTTCGCTCCCCTCCCCAATGATTAATATGCAGGCTTATGGTGGAGCTGCAGGGACAAGGGGGAGGTCGAGACTGGAGATTTTTCTGTGGTTTAATTAGTGCATTCCTGGCAAATTCTCCATCCATAATTATGGCCAGGGTTCTTTCTGACCTTTCCGGTATTTTCTGCATGTTTGGCTTTTATCTGATCATGTTTTATTCAGGATCTTTGTTGTGTACATTCTGTTCAGCCTGTCTCCACTGCTGTACAAAAAAAAAAAAACAACACTTTACAGGTTGGCCAAACGGCACTTCTATCCTTTATGATTTCCCTTTGATTCTTTTTCTGTCCCCACTCTCTGAAATTACAAGGTTCCACCATGAAGTGATGGGGCCAATGTGACACTGGCTGAGAAGCTTGTCCAGAGGGCACACATCCATATTTATAAACGTGTCATTCTGTTTGCTTTCATAAAATTCTAGTTTGCACAGATGAGGAAAAAAAGCATTCTAACAACATGTGAATAGCTCCCCGATGTCCCTATCAGCCACCGAATGGATAAAAAAGAAACTGTATTTTTTTCCGAGGTGTTCTTTTTTACATCAGGGAGGCGGTGAGAGGCAGGGTGAGTAAAATGTATATTTCAGCTGGAAAAGAATAGAAAAAAATGGGTGGTGAGGGGAATCAAGCTGTTGAGTTAAGAGCTTGCACACCAGTAATCTTAATAACAAGCATAACACTAGGATACTAGATTAATTATTTTATACTATGTTGGAAGCCTTTCCACGTATAAGTTGCATGTCTTCATTCTCAGTTATCAAAATGCACAGCCAAGAAAAAAGAAACAACTCAAGATGGAAATGTGGTGCACAAGCCTGTCACGCTCTATACTTCATAAGTCGCGTTGCTCTGCAGACATTCGCAGATGTCGTCTGCACAAACTATAGACAAGATAAAGAATCATAAGATAAGCGTCTATGCATGCACATAGGCACACGCATACACACAAACACAACACTGCACATATAAGAGCAGAGGCAGCGCTGGGGGGATTTGGGCTGCCAGGGCCCCCGTGGGGAAGCGATGGCTTCCTGTTTGCAAGCCTTTCTTCAGTGAAAATGCTTAAAACGGGCCAAACGAGAGCAGTGCTTATCCAGCAAAATTGCTGCTAGATGGAGCAGAAAGTGCACAAATTTTCTATGACACCCCAGTAATGAGGTTTTATATTGACCCAGGCACAGTGAGTGGAAGGGCTCGCTGCTCCTCTTCTCCTAAACTCAGTCAGCTCTCCTCACCCTCTATTTGGCGCCCCACTACAACAACCAGTATGGGCTCAGACAGGTAGCAGAGCAAAAACACACACAACTAAACGAGGAGCACTCATCAAGTATTCATAAACCTCCATTATACTGCTGTTTTTTCCTTAAACTGTGCGAAAGTCAATTATTTTCTTTCTTGCACAGAAGGAACATATTTTCTTCCTCATAACATCACAGCTGTTTCGGTATGAAACTGTGCTGGTTTTTTTGTGGCTTTATTTGGTGGTTGTGCACACACAAACCTCCTCAATATCATAGCATCCCTATCAAGTATGTTGTATTTTTCCTCTTTCACTCTCCCCTTCACTCCTAATGCTCATTAATATACAACTTTTAATACAACAAAGATAGAGTCGGCACTAAGTGTGGGATGTGATATACACTGTTATACACAGGTCAAACTTTGTGCACTACACAACTGATTGAGACCTGGATCAATTAGTCTATTAACTGATTAGATGATTGCCAACTATGTTGCTAATTGATTAATAGTTGAAGAATTCTTTTCCCCTGGTGGCAGCTTCTCCAGTGTGAGGATTTGCTGCTTTTCACTGCTTTATATCATTGTAAAATCAATATATTTTGCTCTTGGACAGTTGGTTGGACAAAACAAGACTTTTGAAGACGTCACCCTGGGCATAGAGCGATTAATCCATTAATCAAGACGAATAATTGAATAAAATTGTTAGTTGCAGCCAAAATGAAGTTATTAAACCTTTTGAGCGAATGCCAGAATCTAAAAAAGTAGGTGCACACCATTTTTTCCCTAGTTTTAATTTTAAACAGTTAAATCCCTGGACATATATTTGGCTTCTCCAAAAATAGGTCAATAATGTTATATTATCTTCTAAAATAACATGAACACGTTTGCCAATGCAGGAATTTTCATGTAAATTGACAAAAAAAGGGATATTGTCTGTCCTTGAAAGCATATTAAGAGTTATGTTACATTCATATTTGTATTTCACAATTTGACTCTGCACCTCAGGACTGTTTCTCCTCAGAGAAGCCAGTCTGGACGCTCCTCCTCTCCCATTAAACTGTCTGCTGATTTTAATGGAGATGAGAGGAGCTGATGTGATTGGCCATTACTAAAGTCTGCACTCCACCTGCTAAAAATGTATTCCTCTACAACCTGCTGATATGTATTGTATTAATGGTCTTTTTCTGGCTACTCCTCTTTTACAGTTTGCACAGGTATTGCCTCTTGTATTAAAAAAAAATGTTGATCATACCCACGTAGGCTAGTGCCAACTCTTAAGAAACTGGAAGCATACGTTTTACTCATTTAAAAGAGTGAACAGACATAATGTAGCATTTTATCCTGCAATGGTTGCAAATAAAATACATTCTAAGCATATTATACAAGTATATTTCTCTCTCTGATCCAATGAGTAACATTATTGAATAGAACAGAATAGAATAGAATAGAAGAAAGAGTATATAATATATATAATATAGTATATGTAAATAGTATAAAGATTGTGTGAATGAATTGACTATAATTGTTGGCTTTTATACAAAACTGTACAAACAGAAGTGCAGATGCTTTGATAACTGTGCATGCTTTCTGTTTGATCAGAATCTCCCTGAAGACATCTCGCTCCCAGAATCCTAAGTGCCTGAGGCAGTGGCCCATGATGCACGGCTCTATATCCTGGAGCTGGAGCAAGTAAAGGTCAGTGCTGGATATTTGTGAAAACCAGGGGAGCTGCTGATCTCTGAACAGTTATTGTATTCATACAGTAGCATATGTGTACCATCTAGAACTGTGGCCTAACACTGACATTCAGAACTGAAAGGAGGAAAGACTAAAAGCAGGCTAAAAAGGCATAGCTCAACACAGGCCTGGCACTCTCATTAGCAATATTTTTGTATGTCCATCAGGATAGAATGCATCAAGCTATTTTAAGCAAGTGCATCACCAGTGGGTTTTTGCAAAGTCTGCAGTCCTCTGATGAATTAAAAATGTATGCTTGAATGGAAATAATTCTGGTATACATCATAATTATTACCTTAAAGGGAAATTCATATAATCTGAAGAGAGGAGAGTTACTTGCAAGAATTATCTGTATAAAGGATTTTAATAGTTCAGTGAGAGTGGTATCTGCCTTGCAAACGTCTAACTACAGCATCTCAGGCCATTTAGCTCTGTTTTCTGTATAATCTGTCTGTGGTGCCAAGATTCAGTCTGTGCTTTCTGACAACCATAAGCCTCAAAGGCCACTCATAGTGCATTAAGAATGTTTTCTTTTTGACAGACATCAAAATGTGACCTTTAAATGATTCTTGTTATCAAGGAAGCTGAACAAGAAAATCAATAGAATGCCGCTGGAGAGGAGGGATTAATGCAGGGCAAATTGATCATTCCATTTCATTTTCATCTTGATTTGATGTGCCAGCCATACACACCTAATCTGACCACAAACTGCTTTTAACACTTCACAGGAGAATCCTTTGAGCAGAAAAATACAACAAGCTTCTCAGTTACAAAAATGATAGGGCAGGAGCATGAGCCTTTACTGACAGTTAACCTTAATAATAAATAGCCTGTTTTTTCCTTTTCCTTTCATCACTTCTCTGTGCTTTTTATAGTGAGCCTCAGTGCTGTTGCTTCTCTTCACCACAGGGAATATGATGGCAAAGCTCATTGTCTATTTCACACAGTTTATGGGTCCATCAAACTGCAAAAACAAATACATTAATCATCAGAACACATTGATAGATCATTAATTATTGTACCTCACTGTTGATGTCACACGTTGTTGAATCCTTTCAGGGATAATCAGAGCACTTTGGCAGAACTTTATTAAACAAGCTGTTCATTTACAAAGCCATGTCTGGATGCGCAGGCACCGAGTCAGAGAGATAAAAGACAATATTTTCTTTTAAAGAATCTTTCAGTAAACATTAAAAGGAATATCTGCCATAGAAGAATTGCACTATTTTCCTGTGCCGCTTCCCGTACACAGCTGAGATTGGGAGCGCATTACCGCTGAAATGCCAGCGCTCGACAGATAACTGCGATAACAAAGATAGCAAATCTGGGAAATGAAAAATGGCACTTCTCTTCTACAAGGAGATACATCAGTGTTTATTAAATCAATGCCAGACAGAGGAATCTGAAGGTAAAATAATGAACCACTTATAAATGATCTTTGCTTCGCTGGGCCTTACCTGATCAGGGTGTTCAGGGACCACCAATGCGAGGCATATTAGGAGAGGTCTATTAATCCTAGTGCTTCTCATAGCTGACTATAAAATGCATGAGTCCTCTGTGACTTACTAGGCACATCCTTTTTAATTTTTCAATGTAAAAAAAAAAAGTCAGCCACACAGCTCTCATTGATTGGGTGTGAAAGTTTGGGTTGTCTGTGTATTTCTGCTGTAACAGTGTGGATATTTCATTATGGTGCTCTGGGACACACATTACGCAGCTCTGCTACCTTTCTCACGGCATCCATGGCAACTAGGGAGGCTGCTCTCCGCACAGAAATGTGCTTTTAATTGAGTGACATCTAATCAGGCAGTGAAATACAGCAGTAGAGTTAACAAAACAGGTCAACGAGGGACAAAGACTACCAGCTGCAATCGCGGTCACACTACAGCGTGTAGTTGTGGTGTTGACCAGCCCATATTAGTCTGGTTTTAATGAACAAAATTACAGGGTTGGAGGTATTCCTACAAGACACTTGGGTGAATGTGTGATTGGATAAGATGAGCCCTTCTTAAGACTACACAAGCTTGGGGAGGAGGCATGTCTTTGATGTGCTGAAATTACTGGAGCTGAGAGGTCTCACAAGCTATGCCTTAACACATATTAAACAGGCTCGAAAGGAAATTTTTCACCGTCATCTATTTTTTTTAGCTTGTTGCATGGTGTGCCAGCCTTGGCTGTCTGCTATTTTCCTCCTCAAACATGGCTTGTGGTTTTAACTGAAATAGCATTTCTTCCTCATTATCAGATGTTGAATCAGTGCACAGGGGGACACCATCAATTCCCCTCTACCTAAAATCATCTGTGCTGACAGCACTCCGTAGTGACATACATAGATAGAGGGGGTAAAGGCATAGTCTCAGTAAATCTTCTGCCTGCGCTTTGGGGAATCATTGCAATTCATGATCTTTTCTCAGTATGCTAACAATAATCTTCTGCTCGCTCTGTCTCGCACATCACCAGGCATAGCAAACACTTGTCTTCACTGAGTCACAGGAAGCATCAGCTTCTCCTCACCATGCAAATTTCAGGGCTGTGTCGCTCTTTGTATTACAACTATGTCCTCAACCTTTTCTACTCACTAACTTTCATACAGCTGGTTGATGAATTCAGTACTCATACGTGGCAAGCTGGACACATACCTTCATTCTGATAGAGGCTTTTACTTTGATACAACCTTGATCCACAAGCAACTGCAAAAATGGACATTTGCCTCTCTTACTATAGATTACAATAATTCTCTAAGACACATTTTAAGGCTCTCTAAATGTCTTTACTAAACAAATGCCCCACTCCAGGAGCAACTCTGCCCTCACTATGAGAAAAAGTACAAGATGCTTTTGTTAAGCAGGGTATAACAAATGTTTCTGCGGTAAATTCTGCTGGATAAATAAAATGCAACCCAAGTAAAATTTGTCCGTGTTTGTATATTCCACTATGTGCAGAACTGCAAAGTGAGCTCTTAATTGGACGCACGTTAGATGGATCTTAGTAAGGGTGGAGAGTCAGCCTTTAGGTCACGCTTTACTAGCAACTGAACTGTTATCATATGAATTTGATCTCATCACAGCAGTGCACCTTAAAGGAGGATGTGCTTCTTGTTATTGCTGTTGGTGGTTTGTTCCATGTATCTTTAACTGGCCAGCTCATCTGTTATTAAAATTGTTGAAATAAGGACAACTTTCTTTGGTAGGAGGTTTTAGCATATGTTCTACATATTGATGTCATATGTTTTATGTATTTCATTATGTTTTATGTATCTTGCGTTTGAGCCTGTGTGCATTCTAATTTCCCTTTGGGCACAGTAAAGTTGAAGTTGGAGCTGAAGTTAACATTGAGACAACAGATGGTTCTGATATACTTTATTTGCACCACACCACTAAAAGACATGCTCAATGTGTATCAGTGAAGAAATAATAATATCACCATACGCTCAGGTCCATAAATTAATTACTGAAGTTTTAACTGCTTTTACTTTAACAGCTTGTCATTGTGGTTTGTTTCACACATGCCAAACATTAACTACATTTAGGTGCTAACTTACAGAACATGTAAACAACAAAGACTTGGTTGAAACATGAATAGTAAAACTACAAAGCTGGTGCGCAATTTATTCTGCATCTTCATATTTCTTCATTAACATTAGGACAATAATCTGGTGACGAGTTTGTGATTGCAATCACATTTTAAAAGGCGGTGTGTCTTATCATACTCATCGTATTATAGAACCATTTCATCTGCCTCACCTCCAGCGTGAAGCTTTGATGGTGTCAAGTGGGAGACGACAACCAATTAAAAGAAAATCAGTCAAACAACTGGGGGTCAGATCTCAAGATGCTCCCAATCACTCATAATTTCCTGTTGTTATGCGGCATTTCCACTGCTCCTGATTGGAGTCTGATAAGTCAGTGCACAATGGTCAGTACATCTGTATATGGAACTGTATCTTATTAAAAATAAACTTTTACTACAATTAAATGTCTTCTTCACCAACAAAACACTATAAACTATACTATGTATCCATTCATTACATTATTTTTGAATAAAAGCAGGTGGCTGTCATAACTTGACCATGTCACTTTAAACAAACAAGGGCATAGGTAAGAAGAGGTATAGCACCTTTAATCACACTTGAGCCCACAACATTGCACAGGGTGGTAGCGCTCTACTTGTTTTTAAGAATGCAAAGGCTGGGAGATGATAGGAATGGCATGCGTGGGGTCTGGCAGGCCAAGGCAGTAGTCCTGATAGTGTTTCTGTGCACGTCCTCCTCTGTTAGTCATTACTGTGTGCAGACGAGGGGTGATGTTTACTCTGCTGAGACAAGCAAGTCTACTGCTCTGGGTTGCAACCTTGTGACTTCCTTCTCCCTCCTGCTGCCAGCTCTCCTAACGTCTAGCCCTGGCCCTGCCACTCCATGGGCTCACTGGCCTATTGCTACAGTTAAATGCCTACCGTCTACCAGAACCAGTTTTTGGGAATAAATCTGGCAAAAATGGATGATGCATTTCTGTGTGTATTGTCTGCCTGGTGGGTGTTGGGCTGATATTTCAGGAAATAATAGCATAATACACACAAGGGATGTAATACTGCAATACATTGCTGTGCCATATTTCCTCCCTCCGTCTTAAGTTTCCTTGTGTTGTCACTTTCAAACATTACCTCCACCCACACACATACGAGAAAAAGAGAGAGGAAGAGAGAAATGGTGACAGAGACTTACTGCAGTACACAATGTATGAAATAGGAAGTTGTAATCCTTGGTAATACATAGAAAAAGAAAATCAATGAAAATATGGTTGGATGATTTATCATATAAAGATGATGAAAAGAAATGAAAGAATATAAAGAAGAAATTAAAGATGTTAGCAAACACAATTGACAATTTATTTGTGTGACGCTAATGGCTCAAGGACAGTGGAAGTAACAGAGCACAGAGGGAGACAAGAGTGAAATAAAACAGGACACAAATAAATTAAGAAAATGCAACAGTTATAATGTTACAAATTGAAACAATTATAAGAGTTGACAAAACAGAAGGGAAATAAGACGAGGAGACAGAAGCAAGTTGAACAAAACAGTTGTGATACATAATGGCAATGATTATGATAGATAATGGCAAAAGGGTAAAATCAATCATAATGCACCAAATAAAAAATGAAATGATTACCAAGCTTATGCAGGAGGTCAGGGGTCAGAGGTCAAGTTCAATATAAACACGGAAACCATTATGGCGTCTGCATGGATGTCTCTGGAAGAAATAAACAAGGAGTTGATGTAAGTACACTTCACTGTAAGTGCTGTTTAAGTCCTACGTCTACTTGACAATATGTAGCACTCAAACATTAATGTGACACAATGCTGTAGTAAGCACTGATTCACAGCAGTGCACAAACCAGAGAAGCTCAGTTTCCTTAAGTGGTGGTGGGCTATTTCAGGGTTTAGTGAATCACAGACACACTTATTCCAGCCCTTTAAAACAATAGAAGGCATCTTTTTATCATCCTATTACAGCGTCGAGACCATAAATTAAGCGTTTGCTCATTTCAAAACCTCTCAGCAAAATTAGGTAGACTACACAAGACACCAATGCAATGCTAACACATCACTCATGCTTTATGTTTCATGCTCTCATGCCCGCCCCTACTCCTACGCTTACACACAAAGCAAATTCTAAGCTAATACACAGTGGAGACACTGGTAAGACAAACAGTGTGTTTGATTTTTTGTTCAACAAAAAAAAAAAAATCCTATAGTAGCCTAGAAAACAGTCTGTGAGGCTCCAGCACACCGAAGACAACAGAGGCATTACTCTTTGCCAAATAAAGAAAAACTACATAAATGGCTGTGCAGTCGAAGCAGAAAGTATTCATCTATTTAAGCTTCACATAAATGCTTCACTTTTATTCATTTGATATTGTTTGTGTGAAGTGTATAAGAAATACACCAAATAAAAAATATTCTTTCAGATCTTATTCAGATGTGCTACTCCGGGGAATTTCAACATATTGTGCTTGAACAAAATCTTCAGTCTCTAAAAGTATTTCTACAGTTTTCCTCTCACAACAGTGTTCATATGATTCATATGCTATCAGTGAGCACAGGGTCAGCTACAATGCATCTTAACATGTAGGATAGCATGTAGTGTACAGTCCAAGGCCATTTTGAGAGAAAGATATTGTCCGTCCCCAGTTAAATTCCAGCATGGAAAAGCTGTAATAACACAGAACTGCAAATTTTACAGTGGAGCCTAATAAAACACCCACTAAAACACCATCTCATCTTCAGTATAATAGGCTGATGACTCATTTATTAATTGAAGTCCAAGAAACTGTACTTCTCAACTATTAAAACTTACACCTAAAGATCCACTGAGGAGCATCTAAGGGCCAGATGTCACATTTATCAGCAAAAAAGACACGATATAAATGGTTTTACAAAGAAGAAACGTCTTGCCAGACCCTCAACCCAGCCTGAGCATGAAATCCAAACAACATTAGATGTAAGACAACACTCGGTACACATCAAGCCCTAAGGCAACATATCAGCATTGAAACAAGAAGGGAAGTACCTTTCAAAGCAACCCTGGGTTTTATTAGTGTCTCGCACTTCAAAAAGATCATGCACAAATTCTCAAATAAATGCATTTTGAGATTCTTCTGTAGTGCTATGAAATATAGAAAAAAGCCCAAGGGTTGGGCCGACACTTCGGAAGGCTGCATCTGTGTGTGATTAGTTCCACTACCTAAGATAAAGCATGCAGAGCAAATGTAACCTCATCATAATCTATGTGTCACGAAGGCATGGAAACACTCAACCAGAAAACAACAACTGCTGTACGGTATAGCCTACCACAGTGACAGTGCCTAGCGTAAACCATAGTCCTGCCAGTGTTCTCCACCCATCATTAATTGTCTGATCATTGTGGAACAGAAAACAGCACGGGTTTGAGCAGACGGGAGATCTCACAGGTATTAGCCGCTAATTGCCGTCAACCAAACAAGCAGCACTTTCTGGAGGAAAACAATCTATATTAATTCTTCCTATTCTCCCCTACAGAATGCACAGTGGAACTTCTTGGGCGCACAAGATAAATGCTTACACCATAATTACAGCTAATTGTGCAAATAATTGCAAAGTTCTTTTGCCACCTATACCCACAATAAAACAAAAGCAATCTATGTGGCTCTTGGCTGTGAAATTGAAACAGTCCTATTTCACTAGTCTCTGTCTTCTACTCATTCATTATCTAGCATTTGTATCTGCTGTGTGGTAAAAGCCAGATTTTACAAAAGTGTGGGGAAGGGAGACGGAAGGAGGCTGATGACAGGGATTCATGGATGCTCTGAATGCAGACATGGTTTTCCACCGTCTTGCTTCTCCCAACAAAACATTTGAAAAGCTTCAAAGCCCAAAGATTTTCGCTTTGGAATACGTCTTTTGATTATATCCAAGACTCTTCTTTTTAAAGGATGAAAAAAAGAAACAAACAAAACATCACCTGTAAATCGAGATAGCCTTTCTGCAGAGGGTTTTTGCACCTAATCCCTTTCATTTCAGGTCAGTAAAATATTAGTGCTTTCTCACTGCTCTGATGGTCAAAGCACATTTCAAAGATTCTGTGTGCCTCTCCAGCAGAGGGAAGAAGAGAGAGAGAGACAGGGCAGTGGGGAGCGCAGGCAATCCCCCATCTATTACAGGCGAACCAATCATCAAAGACAAATTACAGTACACTTCACTGGGATATGCTAATTCCAAATTAGATGCAAGTCATCAAAAGATCAGCATTGCAATATTTTGCATCTACAAATTGAAAATGTCTGCTTTCAGAGCAGGTTTTAATACCTCTATAAGATGAAAAAAAAAAAAACATGAACCTCGTCCAGGCCAACAGCATGCATCTTAATGTACATGAAGGATACATGTACTTTACATCTTAATGTACATTAAGATGAATTCTAATACATCAAAATTTATTTGCATGGATTGTGACATTGCGGAGCTAAATAGAATAAAATCCACGGTGTGTTTTAAGTGAAAGACCAGTACTCAATCATTGTCAATTAAATATAAAAACACCACAGGGTTGCAAATATGACCCAACATACAGTATGTGTAACATAATAGGTTAAATTGTGATTCCTAAAAAATCTTATTTTACCTTGGATTTTAGATTAGAAAGTGTGAACATTCACAGTCATCTGTAAATCAAACTGTGACACATTTATTTATCATTAATTGTGAGCTAAGATTTAGTTAGTTAGTTTACTTAGTTTGTCTTGCTGTTTTACCTGTGTTGTGTCGTGGCATTCCTCCAGCAAAAGAGAGAAAAAAATACAGAAAAAGTAATATTGTAGATTGTAGAGAGACTGTCTAAAACACTTTAATGTCTTTCCTTCACTTAAGTATACTGTATGTTCTTAATCCCTATCTTGTGTTTGTGTTGTAAGGCCAGAGAGGCATAAATGTTTCCGTTTTTGCCCGTTTGTGTCGGTAAGCTCAGTGTACTCAGTGTGGCTTGACTCTATTTCTGCTTTGGACCTCAGTTTTATAGGAGGCTAAAAAGATCTGCATTAGTATGTCCCTTTTCTTCAATACACAAGTTAAAGTGTATTTTTTTCTCCATGGACATTTGAGTTTGGGTAAATAAAACTGTGAATTTGCACTGAGGTATCTTGTGCCTCACTTGCTGGGTCCCCAACGATGGTCCAGTTAAATTCAGATTATAATTAGTTTGTTGTGGTGGGATTGATTGTTGTGCAAAAGGTATTGCTGCAACCACTGTAGTCAGAAATACATATTTATATGAATATAATCTGGACTATCATTGTACTTTCTGTAATATATTCTTGTATTAGTTTGTCATGTAAACAGTATTCGTGATGACTATTTTTCTATACTCTATCTGCACATGCTCAACCACTTGAGAATAAACAAATCATAAGAACATCTAAATTTAGTCACTCTGCAAAACAGCATCCCTCAGTTCTTTTTGTTCTGCAAAATGTTGATTACATATCAACAAACTGTTCTCTGCTTTGCAACAGCAGATATTATAGTGCATATTTATAATGTATTTTCCATTGAGATCATAAGCACATCAATGACTCATTTTGTGTTTTGTATAAGTAGAAGCTTGCTTGGTGATCTTTATTTGGTACAGCCCGGACATTATCAATGTGCTGTTGATTTGTAGAATAGTGTTGTCAATAAGCGTGGTTAATTGCATCCTTAGCACATCAATTGCAACATCATCAGCAGTGCGATAAAAATGAACATATACATAGAACTGTTTGAGGCAGACAGCAACATAAAGTTGGATATTGCTCTGAACAGCATGTCCTCACCTCGGCATCCTCAGTCACATGGCCAAGAAGTAGCCCCACACATACCCCCGCGTAAAACAACAAATTTAAACAAAGTTATTTTTTGTAGGGATTAAACAAACTACAATTAAATAATATATAACAAATAAAATAAATATAATTAATAATAATTAATAAATAGTGAACTTTGGAGGTGCTGCTAGGCAGATGTTATTACCTGTAGTCAGAGCCAGGCTAGTTGTTACCTAAGCTAATGTCTCCAGGCTGTAGCCTAATATTTAGCATATGAGAGTGGTATCTATTTTCTCATCTAACTCTCAGCAAGAAAGATGGTAAGTATATTTCCCAAAATGTCAAGCTATTCATTTAAAGCTAATTTTAATAGACAATCCAAAAATGGAAAATGCACACAGCACAGTTTTTTCTGTTTACTATCTGACAAAAGGATTACATCTAAATATGATTCAACAATATATTGTAGATCTTCAGAATGTACAATGCTGAATGAAAAGATATTGATTTGTGAAGCTACCTCCTCTGATCAGTATGGGTACCACTTTCTCCCATCATTGTTCTGCCGAGGTTTCCATCGTTGATTTGAGGAGGAAGACTGCCAAAATGCAGTTAGTTTAAACAATAGAAACACAGACAGACAATTACCCAGTCCTGAGGGAGTCAGACTAAAGAGCTGGTCAATATTTCTGTGCAACATATGCATCAAAATGGCTGGGTCAGCTCCAGCATCTTGCTGCTCACTCTGTTCTCTTTCTTCTAAGTGCCTCTTCTCCCAATCTGTGTCCAAGGGGAGTAGAATTGCCACATCACTGAGGTGTGAATACGCTGATGAATTCACCCTTTATGTTTGACACTTGATATGTAAAAGCATGGCTTAGGTTCAGAAGCAATAAGCGGTGCTCTGACAATGTCAATATTTCTC